CAAATGAATGTTGGCTACGATCTTACTTTAAGCTGATATTATGAGCACTCTGGTGACAGAAAATATATGTAGTAACTGCGAGGAATGCATGCGTGATGATGATTAACGTTACTGTTACCCGAGCTTCCTTCACAACAAACTTGAATGCTTCCTCTAATTTCTTGAAATCCTATCTATAAATGATTTGCATGTTGGTTTGCGGCCTTACATGTCTTTTGTTAGTCTGTCTGTCTGTTCCTGAACCACATTTTTCCCCTTCCACCCAGCCCTATTGGCAATGCTGAAGCCCTACATGAAGCAAGTGTAGGTTTCCTCAGGCTCTGAATCTCACTGGGGCTCCTTTTCAATTAAACAAGAATTGTTTGTTTCTATCAAAATTATATATATTCAGTGACAAGTGGGGTCATTTTTAAGATTCTGGCATACAATCATCACATTACAAGAAATCACACAAAAAATGTCAATATCTTGTGTAACCTTTGCCAACTACAATAATGTCCCGGACCCTTCTTATTGACTGTATGAGACATAGTGGTATTACCTTTCAACCTTGATGGAGGGCTTGTTCCAATACATAATACTGGCCAAACAAGCTCTCTGGGATTGAGATCTGGATTCCTAGCTATTGCCTCATGATGTAAGAAGTCACCAACTGCACAATGTTGCCTGGGATGGTCTTCCATGAAATGTGGTACAACAACCCTATCTAGGATGTACAGTACAGATTTTGTCACCACACCATCAATGAACCCCTTTGCCTAACATTACTTGTTCTAAGATATTCTGTTATGCATATGCAGGTTTTTTTTGTGGTGCCAAACACAACATCGGCCATCAACAACTTTTGTCCGATCAGTAGACCCTGCTGTATATTGTCGGGTTCCAGTGACATCAAGCTTGACACCAAGCTGGTCTCTCTGCTTTGTACCCGGGGGTTAACAATGGATGGACAAAACATGTTTATCATATCTGTCATACTTGTCTAAGGGTTTGTCGTATTGACAGTAAAAGAGTTTGTAATAGGATTTGTCATATTGACAACAAAAGAGTTTGTAATAGGATTTGTCATATTGACAACAAAAGAGTTTGTAATAGGATTTGTCATATTGACAACAAAAGAGTTTGTAATAGGATTTGTCATATCGACAACAAAAGAGTTTGTAATAGGATTTGTCATATCGACAACAAAAGAGTTTGTAATAGGATTTGTCATATTGACAACAAAAAGAGTTTGGATTTGTCATATTGACAACAAAAGAGTTTGTAATAGGATTTGTCATATCGACAACAAAAGAGTTTGTAATAGGATTTGTCATATTGACAACAAAAGAGTTTGTAATAGGATTTGTCATATTGACAACAAAAGAGTTTGTAATAGGATTTGTCATATCGACAACAAAAGAGTTTGTAATAGGATTTGTCATATTGACAAAAAAAAGAGTTTGTAATAGATTTTGTAATAGGATTTGAGTTTGTAATAGACAACAAAACAAAAGAGTTTGTAATAGGATTTGTCATATCGACAACAAAAGAGTTTGTAATAGGATTTGTCATATCGACAACAAAAGAGTTTGTAATAGGATTTGTCATATCGACAACAAAAGAGTTTGTAATAGTTTGTCATAACAAAGAGTTTGTATATAGGTAATTTTGTCATATCGACAACAAAAGAGTTTGTAATAGGATTTGTCATATTGACAACAATTTTTTGGGTCATATTGACAACAAAAGGGTTGGTAATAAGGGTTTGTGATATTGACAAAAAAAAGGATTTTTAATAGGGTTTGTCATATTGACAAAAAAAGAGTTTTTAATAGGATTTGTCATATCGACAACAAAAGAGTTTGTAATAGGATTTGTCATATCGACAACAAAAGAGTTTGTAATAGGATTTGTCATATCGACAACAAAAGAGTTTGTAATAGGATTTGTCATATCGACAACAAAAGAGTTTGTAATAGGATTTGTCATATCGACAACAAAAGAGTTTGTAATAGGATTTGTCATATCGACAACAAAAGAGTTTGTAATAGGATTTGTCATATCGACAACAAAAGAGTTTGTAATAGGATTTGTCATATCGACAACAAAAGAGTTTGTAATAGGATTTGTCATATCGACAACAAAAGAATTTGTAATAGGATTTGTCATATTGACAACAATTTTTTGGGTCATATTGACAACAAAAGGGTTGGTAATAGGGTTTGTGATATTGACAAAAAAAAGGATTTTTAATAGGGTTTGTCGTATTGACAACAAAAGGGTTTGTGACATTGACAAAAAAAGGATTTTTAATAGGATTTGTCATATTGACAACAAAAGGATTTGTGATATTGACAACAAAAAGGGTTGGTAATAGGGCTTGTGATATTGACAACAAAAGAATTTGTTATAGAATATGTCATAATAACAACAAAAGGGTTTGAAAATGGCTTTGTCATACTGACAACAAAAGGATTTGTGTTAGGGTTTGACATATTGAAAACAATGGGGTTTGTTATAGTCATGTCATACTTGCAATATACTGAACAAACTTTATGGACACCAACTTGTTATATTTCATGAATGCAATGTTTCGATACAAATTCTTGTACCGTTGTCAATCATGAATGTCATTTCTTTAACATATTATTTAGTCAATATTGAACTTCCAAACTTTTCATATGCCACTCAAAGAAGTTGCAATATACTGTCAAGCTAAAAACAAATTGGCTTGTCATATTCATGTTATATACTTTGATGATCATATTCATGTTATATACTTTGATGATCATATTCATGTTATATACTTTGATGATCATATTCATGTTATATACTTTGATGATCATATTCATGTTATATACTTTGATGATCATATTCATGTTATATACTTTGATGATCATATTCATGTTATATACTTTGATGATCATATTCATGTTAAACAAGAAACCTTGTCATAGGATTGGGTGATATGATGTATGCATACTTATAATGGTGTACGAGAGTTTTGATTGGCAATTTCTTGACTTTTCGAGCTGATTGTTTCTAAATTAGGTCAACAAAAACCCAAATATGCAAGTTTCTTAATTCCATTATTCATACAGGTAAACAGAAACAGTGAGAAAAATGGATTTATAAGTGTAGAAATTGTTGATTGCATGTAAAAACTGTTGAGTACTCAATAGCAGAAAGAAGAAAACTTTCTGGTGAAACTTTATAACCTTTCCAAAGCCAGTGACATTATTTTGTGAATCTGAAACTGTGCACACTGTCAGATCATGCTTTCTGTAAACACCAAGGTTCGACCAAGGCCAGTGCAACCCAGGAAGACCACTCCAGTGGAAGAATGCAATCTGTTACGTGAGACCTGAACCCTTCGAAACGAGCACCTGTTTGAAGCAACTTTGGGTACCCTACAGACGTTTGTCAACCAAGACTGTGTGTAACTGTCTCAAGGCTCTTGGTTTGAGGCCCCAAAGAGTCATCAGGTGTCCCACTCTCCTCGTGAAAGTCAAAGGCAACACCTGCAGTGGTGTTTTGCTCAACGGTGCTTAATTCTTCAGACCAGGAGACGAAACCATTGGTCAGGCGAAAGCAGGTTCCACTTGATATTACGGATGGTCGTATGAGAGTTTGGAGGTGCATTAACACTGCTTATGTGCCGAGGAACATTCACCCTACTGTTTCCTTTGGTGCAGGCTCAGTTATGGATGTGTATCCCATGACTGTAAGCAGACATTGGTGACTGTATGGGGAATTTTGTATGGCCAGTGCTACATCATAGACATTCTTGATCAAGTTGTTGTACCTCATTTTGATAACCACCCATTGGCTACCCGCTCCATATTCATGGACGACAACACTAAGACACATTGTTCCTGAGATGTGGGAGAGTTCCTGTGGAATAATGCTACTTAGACACTCCCTGGCCAGCGAGGAGCCCTGATCTGAACCCCATCAAGCACATCTGGGACATTCTCGGTCATTTGCAGGCAAGGGTCCCCCCTGTACAAAATGTGGGTGAATTGGAGGCAGCATTGTATGAGAATTGGAGGATTTCATCTTGGCAGATACACGACATATTGATGTCAAACACCCTGGTAGATTTCAGAGGACCTAAACAGACAGCAATATCCAGCACTATCTCAATATGTGTCATGCCAGAACAACACTTATTCAAAGAACTGCTTTTCCACAAAATCAAAAGTGCTGGCATTTCTCATGTACAGAGCATACAAATTAACATATTGCCTAAATTTTGTTTCTTTTTCTGTTGTCAAGTATTCAATCAACCATCAGATAATCAGGCATTACTGTCCTTCTAGAAGTATAAAAGTTATGACACATTTTTGATCATATCACTATTCTGAAACAGGGGAGTGCCTAGTTACATTCGATGTGTATAGTATATTTGGAAAAGCTTACTATTCAAAGCCATTCTACAACGGAAATCTCCTATACTTGGATACATATCATGGTATTGACATACAAATCACTTTACAGTATACATATGTGCATATTATGTGATAAGGCTTAACAACCACACATACTCATGAATGTTCAGCATGCAAACAATCTATAACGGTTGACAAAATAAACATAATGTTATACTGTTGCTATTACATACTGCAATCTGGGCTGGTGAATGTACCCACCACCTCTTATTACAAAGTGCCATTACATTATATTTCCTCACACACTGTGAGAGCAATATAATTTTTCAAATTAGGTTGCAAGTATTTTTCTCAGCAGCCAACTAATCCAAATGTCAGCTGGATTTAAATACATCATGATGGCTGAACTAGCTTGAAACCATGGATCACATGTGTTGACATTAAGTTAATGAATTATAGGGCAGTGTTAGAGGAATGGAGCAAGTTTGCCTTTGACATTCACTTGTATAAGCTGCCGTGTAATGCAAGGGATCAGCGCCTAATGTAGACAGCCACTGACTGCACACACGTGCTCACAGCACGCTCAAACCCTAAGACTGTGTCATGCATGGTAACTTGGCTTCAGCTTACTTCATCATCAACATGTTGTTTTCATTGAAAACTGGTAGTTGTGTAGGATCTTGAGAACTGTGTAAGTGGAACCCCTAGTAACAAAGTCAATATCACTCATATTATCAACCTAGCTACTTTGCTGGCAGGAAAATGTCAAGAATTTGTGTAGTGGCTGCAATTGCAAGCTGTGGGTGGTGTTGATTGTGTAGTGATCTTGTGTAGTGTGAGAGGAGGACAGGAGAGCTGCAAGAGGCTAGCTGGCTGTGTGGAGGATTGTCATTTCGCAGCAGGCCTTACTACACTGGCCTGCATTGTCATCTGACTGACAGGAACCAAGGTGAGGTGTTTGTTTTGTCATGTGAGTCAGAATACAGGATGCTGTGATACTACTTATTGATCATAGCTGGGTAGGTTGTACCAGTGATAGACACAGACTGCCTGTCTTGGCCTGTCTTGGCCCGTCTTGGCCCGTCTTTGTTGACTGTGGAATCGGGTGCTGGAAATTGCTTTCTACATAATTGATAAGGTTTGGTGGCATTTCTCTGCTGGAGATGTGCCTCGCCATATGAACATTACTAAATCATGTGACTAGCCATGCACATAGTCCCCACTGTGTGCCAACCTTCACACAAGTAGATAAGGTGGAACTGGATAATTAAGCCTTAGTAACATGAAGCACTGATCACACAAGGATTTAGCAACATCTGTCTCTGTCCCTGGAGTATCATCACATCCCTACTGTCTTGCTGTCTTTCAAATCTCCCTAACTGCTTGGCTGCTATCAAGAATTGAATGTACACGTCATCTCAAGATTGGCATATTGCTTGACTGGTGGATGTTTACAAATAAGTGTTGTACACAATGTATGTACAGAGATCAATAGCAAATAGATAAGCTCTCATGTTTTAGTTCTGTGAAGATATGCCAATCCTGTAAGTGTCATTGTGTCTGCCATGACTTTAGATTCATGGACAACTTCTTCATTAAACTGTAACAGGGATGCTTCGACATAGATCCTTTTTCAGCTGTATAAAGATATGCAATGAAACATCATTTCTACAGTACAATAAACACATTGTTATCCATGATATCATCTTGTCTACTTTGTAATCCAGCAACTTATAAGAAATGCCTATCAGACAATTTGTTTGGCCTGACACATCTCACCAGCTTCATATCTCCTAAAGGTTAAGTGTTTTGTGTGCAATTTAAATGGAGACTATGAGAATGACTGGAGATGGTTTTCTCTGACCATCCTGTTCCATCCTCAAGTGATAATCAACACTGACATTCAGTTGTTTAAAAGGATGGTTTGATATGCCATCTTACCAATGTATTTGTTTCTGGCAGATTGTGTCTTGATTGTGTCTCACAGTGAATAGAGTTTTTTCTGGTAAGGCTATCAAGTTGTTTTAAAAAGTAAAATTTTCTCACCATTTTCTGTACTGTTGACAAAGCATTTTGCTTGTACTCTGTCACTTGTTCCTCATAATGATAGTTTTGATAATATAAACAGAGTCAAAGATTGTTTTAGGAAAGCAGCACTTCTTGGCATGGCCAGTTCAGCACTGTAAACAGGAACATGATGAAACTGAATGCTGAACATAGAATCTGAAGTGTTAGATCAATGTAGGAATGAGTGTGTTTGTGCGGAGTGAGTCTGATACCCTTGACTTGGAGAAAACACTCAGGAATTAATTACAATAGTAAGAGTTGTATACGTACAACATTAAATGTTAGGACTACCATCAATCTTGAAGGACAATAGGCAGGGTACGTTTACCTTGACTCACAAACACTGGGGTCGCAGAGTCCCCTAATTATTAGTTTTAAGGGTCCTTGCAGGCAATATGAGCGTCCTGTGAAGTAACTATGTACAGAACTGTATGTTTTGATAATTTCTGGAATGAATCATTGATCATTTGGACTGATGGGTGAAATGATGCAAGTAACTGCTCTGAAAGAAACAACCAGAAACAACAACACTGAGCAAAGTCATATATGTGTTGTGGGTGCACTGAATAATATTGTGCATCCTGCTGGACGCAGTGATTTTTTTCTGTGTCCATTCTCTACATTTGTGAGTACTGGACACACATTTGCACATGGCATAAATCCCTGGACAATAGGAGTATGATAGGAACTTTAAAATGGAATAGTCGTACAACATACCACAACCTTTCATTCACTAAGTTAGCATACTGCATATGAGTCTCCCAAAAAAGTATTTCAGGGAGTCTGTCCCACATACTCCTGGTGCACCACCTTGGCAAGTTCTCGTCCTTCATCTTGTCCTCATGTCACAATGGATGAAATAAGGTAAATCACAACTGTATTATGAGCAGATTTAAAAAAATGGTCCACATAGAATAATTTACCTTACTTTAAAGTGTCAGAATCAGCAGTGAGCCCTACGCACGTGTGTGGTGCTACTGTGTTGGATGGCCAACACATGGTAGGATGTGTTTTGGTGTTCAATTTCACAAACGTTCTTGTATAATATGTTTGTCATCAGTGCTTATCTTTGTTTCAATACTTGGCACATGTATTCATATATAATTGGTGATGCCCTTGACTACATATAAATATTTATAAATATTTATTAATTATGTACACACCAGGGAATTATCAAAATACACACACTTTTTTCAAATTTTGTGTGTGCGTGCATGCGTGTGTGCATCCAACATGCAGGTGTGTTAAAAATTGAACATAGAAATCTTTAATTTTTTTTTATAGATTTTATTTTGTTGCATTTTTCAACATTTTATACAAACAAATAACAGTGATATTCCCGTATACATGATGAAAAATCAAATAGTTTTAGCAGAATAAATCGTGGCATGACGCACTGACAGAACGTGTAGAAAGTGTTGATATTACAACTAATTATTGACGAACACTTTGTTAACATATATATAATATTCAAACAGTTTATGTTGAAAAACTTGAAAAGATGGCATAATGTTGTTAAACTTATTTCGAAAAATTAGTTCCTTGAAGAGAATTAAGATGATATTTATTGGATCATTGCTTTTATTTGGAGTAACGAAGCATTACATGTTTCTTTTCAATTTTGAGTATTATTTGTGCTTTAGCATGTAGCCAGTTCTCAAGGTTTTTCCATATATGGTTTACCTTGCTGCAAGACCAGAATAAGTGGATAGTTGTTTCTATATCTTCGGAGCAAAAACTGCAATTACTAGTATCTTTATATCCTATCTTTTCTAAAAAAATGTTTGTTGGCAAGATATGGTGTAAAAGTCTGTATTGGAGCCATTGTAATCTAGTATCTTTCATACATCTAAAGGGAATAGTATTGTAAAGTGGCCAATCATTAGATATAATTTTGTCGTATAAAATGTTTAGTTCCCATTTCGATGCATAGACCTGAAATTAGAGTTTTGTACAAGTATTGCGTCCCTTTTACATTCTTACAGAGATGTTGCATATATCAGGGTAGAACAGGGTTTGGTTTGCGTGTTATTGTTTTTAAATCTGTATTGATCTTTTGAAGATATTGTTTAACGGAGCAAATAAGACCATGATATTTCAGAAAATTTGTTTTTATATCAAATTGTTTTAGAAACGTTTCAAATTGAAAGAAATTACCATTTTTATCAATCAAGTCATTAATCCAGCGAACCCCATGTTCGTACCATTCTTTGTAGTAAACCGTTCTACATTCTACCATAATATTTTTATTATACCATATACTTTCATTAAGGATTTCATTATCACTATCTTTTTCAGAGTTTAATTCAAGTTGAGATGTAAAGTCCCACCATGCTGAAACGACATCTTTGTAGTAATTATTTCTTATAAAAGGAAGTATTTTATCTCTCAAATGTTGACAACTATACTCAAATATATTTCCATAACCGATCTTTGGGAGATTCAAAATAAAAAGATTACACCATTTAGCAGAGTGTGAAAGAAAGCGTCTTAGCATGGACAATTTTTGCGATTGTATAATACCTTTTATGTTGGGCATATTTAATCCTCCATCTTTTTTATCACTAATTATCTGTTTTCTTTTTGTCTTATCAGGTTGACTGTTCCAAATAAATCTGTAACATTTTCGTTGAAATGCATTTATAACATCATCTCTTGGATTAGGGATAGAGCCAAAAAGGTGATTTAGTTTTGGAATGATTAGTGATTTTAGAACTACATTTCTACTGAGCGGAGTAAGTATCTAGCGTAAATGTTATACCAAGTAGGTTAAAGGACGTTTGGTCCCAGTTTAGATTCCTTTGAGGACAAAGTTTCATTCTCGAGCGCTTTTTTGATCCTATCCATATAAGCCTTGTTTTTTCAATATTAATTTTTAGTCCTGAGAAACTTGCTAAGATATCCAATACATTTAAAACTGCAAAAAGGCAATGTTCAGAACCATCTAAGGTACAGGTTGTGTCATCAGCAAACTGATGAAGTAATTATTCTATATTGCCAATATTTATACCTTTTATATTTTTATTATTTCTTATCAATATGGCAAGTATTTCCGCACATAGAATAAATATATACGGCGAGAGAGGGTCGCCTTGGCGACATCCTCTAGATATATTAAACATAGCAGAACCATATCCATTGACTAAAACATTTGATTCGATTCCTCCATACAAAGTTTTAAACCATTTTCTAATAGAAGTGGCAAAATTGAAAATTGACAACGTTTTATCTATAAATGCCCAATCCACAGTGTCAGATGCTTTTTCAAAATCTATAAGTAAAAGTAGACCAGGTATTTGATGCGTTTCTGTATATTCCATAAGGTCATATATCATTCTAGTAATTTCCCCAATATACCTACCAGACATAAAACCTTTCTGGTCTTCATTGATCAGTATATTAAGAACTGTTTTTATCTGGTCCTGGACTTTTATAATTTTTCAAACATTTTAAAGCCGAAAGTACTTCTTCATACTCCAATTCACCTTCTAGTGCTGATGATGTAGTTGCACTTAATTTGGGGATATCAAAGTGTCTGAGTAGATTGTCGAGATTAACATCGCTAATATCCTGTTTTCTATATAATATGGAGTAGAAGTTTTTTGCTTCATCTTCTATTTCATGTCGGCTGGATAAAACATCTCCTTTATCATTTTCTAAACGAGTAATTGACTTATTGAGGAAGTTTCGTGATTCCAATCCAAGAAAAATATTTAGAAGGTTTTTCCCCCTGTTCAGATATCGCTCTAGATCTTATCATAATACCAGACATTTTTATCATATTTATTTCTTCCAACCTATGACTTAAAGTATCAAGTTCTTTCATTAATTCAGTTTTAATTTCATGATCGTTTGTTTGGTCCATTTTACCTGTAATTTCTT